TCACGCAGAGAACGCAACGCCATAACATCCTTCGGAATGAATATATTCCGAATCCAGAAGCAGCATTGTGTTCAGATCGTCGAGGCAAATATTTTGATATACAGTATGCTCTCGATATTCCATTTCCAGTTTTTTCGAATTTTTTTTCTGTGGAGGTCTTTTCGCAAGGATGTAACGCAGCGTCTGTGTAACATAAAAGATTCCAGTAAGCACTGTTCGATAGTATTGTCCTTGTAGATTATCGTGCGTTCAAGAGTAGCTGCAGACTGTCTCCCAAAAGAGACAGAAGCGTTGGTGAATTTTGGAAAAATCACGCGTTTCTAAATTCTACTCGCCGTAACTTCCTTCGGAATGAACATATTCTGAATCCGAAGAAAGCTTTGTGCTCAGTTCATCAAGGCAAATCTTTCGATATACACCATATCCCTGATATTCCGATTTCAATATTCTCAAATCTTTCTGTAGACGTCTTTTGTGAAGGTGTAAAGCAGCGCGCATTGCTCCTAGTAGGCTCCAGCAAGGACCTTTCGATAGTACTTTTTCTGTAGATTACGTAGCCCTAAAAATAGTCACAGGCATCTTTCCATAGGAGTTAGAAGGGCTGGTGAATTCTGGAAAAATCATGTCGTTCTAAATTTCTCAACGTAACTCTAAAATATGAAGCTCTCTTGCTAAGCAGATGTGATTTTCGTAATTAGCAGGTCGGATAACCCTTATAAGCAAGTTTTCCAAGATGTTCGAGTGATTTCATTTTTTCTCGTTTTACGCTCTGAAGCTGCCCGATGGATTTTGGTCAAAATGTTCATGCTCTTAAATTGTAAGGAAACTTCGCTTATAGAGGCTTTCGAATACGCTCTTTACGAAAATCGTGGTCTTTGAGGATTACAGGGTCTTTTTGGAGAGATACGGTGAGGTGACTGTAACTGCATCACGAAAGCTCGTAATTTCGCCTCCACCTCTCACGTGTCTGTCAAAGAACCTGCCTGCTTGCTTTGCTAGTCAAAGATAGTAGGAGATGTGCTATCGAATGGCGCAAGACTCAGGCTCCAGTCTATAAAATTCGCCGAGTTACGAGCCTACGAAAACACGTTCTCATGAATTTTGCTCAAAATGTAAAGATCGCAGATTTCGTCGAAATTCCACCGTGAGTGCTTGTACAATACGCTGATCAAATCTTTTCACATTCTTAATGAATCTTATTGTGAGATTTGATGATTTGAGCTCTAGCCACAAAACAGCTTTGATATTCAATTGCTGAAGCACACACAAGCACCATATTCAATACAGTGGAGTTATTGAGCGAAGCGAACATAATATCCGCAATGCGAGCGTCATACAAGCACTCACGGTGGAATGTCGACGAAATTTGCGATCTTTACATTTAGAGCAAAATTCATGAAAACGTGTTTTCATAGGCTCGTATCTCGTCGAATTTTACAGACTGGAGCCTGATTCTTGCGCTATTCGATGGCACATCTCCTAGTAACTTTGACTAGTAAAGCAAGCAGGCAGGTTCTTTGACAGACACGTGAGAGGTGGAGGCGAAATTACGAGCTTTCGTGATTCAGTTACAGTCACCTCACCGTATCTCTCCAAGAAGACCCTGTAATCCTCAAAGACCACGATTTTCGTAAAGAGCGTGTTCGAAAACCTCTATAAGCGAAGTTTCCTTACAATTTAAGAGCACGAACATTTTGACCAAAATCCATCGGGCAGCTTCAGAGCGTAAAACGAGAAAAAATGAAATAACCCGAACATCTCGGAAAACTTGCTCGTAAGGGTTATCCGACCTGCTGATTACGAAAATCACATCTGCTTAGCAAGAGAGCTTCATATTTTAGAGTTACATTGGGAAATTTAGAACGACATGATTTTTCCAGAATTCACCAGCCCTTCTAACTCCTGTGGAAAGATGCCTGTGACTACTTTTTAGCGGTGCGTAATCTACAGAAAAAGTACTATCGAAGGGTCCTTGCTGAAATCTCCTAGGGGCAATGCGCGCTGCTTTACACCTTCACAAAAAGACGTCTACAGAAAGATTTGAGAATATTGAAATCGGATTATCACTGATATGGTGTACATCGAAAGATTTGCCTTGATGAGCTGAGCACAAAGCTTTTTTCGGATTCAAAATATGTTCATTCCGAAGGACGTTACGGCGAGTAGAATTTAGAAACGCGTGATTTTTTTAAAATTCACCAATGCTTCTGTCTCTTTTGGGAGACAGTCTGCAGCTACTCTTGAACGCACGATAATCTACAAGGACAATACTATCGAACAGTGCTTACTGGAATCTTTTATGTTACACAGACGCTGCGTTACATCCTTGCGAAAAGACCTCCACAGAAAAAAATTCGAAAAAACTGGAAATGGAATATCAAGAGCATACTGTATATCAAAATATTTGCCTCGACGATCTGAACACAATGCTGCTTCTGGATTCGGAATATATTCATTCCGAAGGATGTTATGGCGTTGCGTTCTCTGCGTGATTCGCATGGTTTCGCGGATCCTGATATGTCGCGAACTTCCCGGATTATCACGCACTTTGGTGGAAATCCCGGAATTCCGCGAAGTTCACGGAAATTTTGACATTCTGTGCGCGGTATTGTGATCTTGAGCAGATCTTAGAACAAATTCGATCAGAGCGGCTCTCTACCATACTCCTATAGTATACTGTCTATGTGTCATCAGCGACAGATCAATGGTAATACTGTTATCAGCACACTGAATTCAACCATAATAATAATCGATAATCTGAAAACTAATATTGTATTCGGAATCCCCATGCTCGATTACCATTGTGATTGTGCAAACTCCCACCCCGTAGCTCAAACTTTGCAAAAAAATCGATAAAATCGATAAAAGTAATCGATAATCGAAAACTAATATTGTTTTCGGAATCCCCATGCTCGATTACCCCCCTATGCAAACTCCCAGCCCCATAGGTGAACTCTGCAAAAAAATCGCTAAAAATCGATAAAATCGATATCGATCGATAAAGAAAAGTAGCCTATGACATCCGCCGGTGCCCGAAGTGTATGTGTGCCAAGTTTGGTCCGAATCGGTTCAGAAATGGATTTTTCTATTCGGAACATACGTACAGACAAACAGACAAACAGAAGTTCAGCTTCATATATAAGATGATGCGTCTCGTCGAGCTGAATCGAACGGTGCCCTCGGATTCAGAATTCGTCCATTCTGAAGCGAGATATGGCTAAATTGACGATCATTCCGGCGCACTGCGGCGGAGTGTGGCGCACTCTGCCGCACTCCGGCGCACTCTGCCACACTACGCCGCACTGTGGCGGAGTATGGCGGAGTGCGCCGCAGTTCGGCGACTTTTTTGACGAATTATGAGCGGTATTGTACTTCTATCCTATCACATGTGGTCAAACGGCTAATTCATTGGAATTCTGAGAGTGCGGCCAACGTTCGAGACCTGTCAGTGGCGGCATTTTTGCTGCAATGCCGGGCAGTCTTTGAAAGCGATGATATCGGAAAATTGATTATGACCGCTATGGCTAAGGGCATACCTCACGCGATTTCAGTCGCCACGATCTGGCAGTTTGCCAGATATCTTTAAGTTCAATACTGGCAGACCCCAAATGCACAGCATATTTAGTTTTGGTAAATTGATAAAATGTCCTGTATTTCATACATTTAGGAACCCCTTGCGATGAGTTATGCACAGTTGGAGTATTGTCAAATCGCGTCGCGACTGAAATCACGCGAGGTATGCCCGTAGCCTATCAGACATATCGCGTAGCAAATGAAGATAAAAAACAGGTTCACAACATTTTGGCATGCATACCGGCAAAAAATCACAATTTTCCAAAAGTAGAGAGAAAGATAAATTCCATTCTTTGCATTCAAAGCGGTTTTCTGAAAAAACCAAACAAGAAGTACAAAAAAAGAGAAAGAGATTTTCTTTATTTCTCATTCCTCACCGCAATCAGGTAATCATCGATCGATATTCTCCCATTTAGGCCCCGAAATTGTGCAGTTTTGCGAGTTCTTATACCGCAACCATACGTCAGCTAAGTTGTCCCGTAAGTTCCACGAGCCAGTGGCGTACCGAGGGGGGGGGGGGAAGGGGGGCCCCCAACGGGTCGCAAAATTTTTGAAGGTTACTTACATGAGTTATAAAAATTTGCGAGTGACTTGTTTATTTTTGTAAACAATTAAAATAATTTTTAAAAATTTTTAAAAATTCAAGTTAGCCTTAAAAAATTTTTTTCGGGGGCGTGGCTGACGCCACGCCGCCTTTTCCAGATTTTAGGGGTTGGGGGCCCGCAAAAACTTCGAGAAGCCCCCCTAAACAATTTTTTGGAGTGTGTGGCTGACGGCACGCACCTTCATTTGAAAAATTTTTTTGTTGCCCCTCACGAGTAACTTACGGTAAATTTGGCTGATGCTCCTCTTTTGCGCACTATCTCTCTCGGGTCACTCTAATCAACCTCGGATAAATGGCATTCTGTTAAACAGATTAAGACACTTGATCGGACAGTCTTCTGACTGTTCAACTATCTTTGAGCACGGGAAGATAGACGGGATTAGGTTCACTCTAGAAAGCTCTTCTGAATGACTCATCCCAGGTTAACTGAGATGGATGTGTTTACTACGGGCCAAGGTCTCATATCAATAAGCCAAGGTCACCAAGTATCCTTCCTTTGTTAGCTGTCACCCGGTTGGAGAAGAATCAAAAGACCAGCATTGCTATATAAGTTTACCTACCACTTGATGGTCAGGGCGAGCCTCGAAACGGAAATGATGCATTGGTGCTCACATATCCTTTCCAATTTTGATACCGCTTAGTAAAAAAATATAAGATAACTTTATCAATGGTCAGAAATCATTTAAACTCGAGAGTTTGAACCATCTATAAGGTTTGCGGCTTGCTTGTAGTTGTTATCCTATTCGTAAGTAATTGTGAGAAATATAGCGGAGAGTGCTATGCCACTTGCCAATGTTACCGCTTTGCTCAATGTAAGATAGGAAAACCATTGAATCAGACTTTATACTCCATTTACATATTGTCCAAGGGCCTCAGATGACAACCATCAGATGCAAAATACTATTACTTCAAAGAAGAGGGTATGACTTTTTCTTGCAGACGAAGTTCCTCATCTTGGCATCGCAGCGATAATCATTCCATTGCTGGGAATGGGGTTCATCGCTATAGAGCTAAAAAGGACTGTCTAGGCGTTCTTTCCGGGAATGAGTTAACTCAGAATAAAGTAGACTGCGCAAAAGCGAAAGAAAGAAAGATACAGTGTATGCCCGTAGAGGAGCACATATTTTCTTTCCAACTGTTTGTCTATGCCAGTGAATGCATCTCTATGTGAAAGTAATACCTGTGCGCACTGTTCACGTCTGGCAAGGTTATTCGGCTCACGACGAGCAAATGGTGAATAGTCAACTTTCGTGCCATCAGTCCACGTCCATTCCTTGCTACTTGGATAACTTGCTTGATGCAGGCCTATCCAGGTCGCCTTTTTCCAGTGAGATCGTCTGACACCTGCCTTTGACAGATCTAAATCGCATTACAACAGATTATATGGGAACAACTTCACGCATGAAATGAACGAAATTACTCGATACAAAAAGATTTTCTTCGGGGCTATGGATAGAAGTCAAATGTCCTCCAAGCAAAACACAAATGCTCTCGGCAGCGGTCCAAGTTTCGTCGAATAAGGTCTGAAAAGATACTATGATCAAAGAGTCAAAAGACTTCATTCTTGGCTGCAAAAAACTCACAAATTCGTATTTCCCCCGTACAAACAATTTCGCAGTTGAATTAGAAGCATAAAAAACCAAAATTTTGAAACTTTTAGGCTCTTTGCTCAACCTTCAATGTTAGCTTGCTAGCCTTCATCTTCATAGAATAGGAGCAGAGAGAGGGCATGCAAGTCCAGATTAACACTAGCAGCCATGAGTGAATCCGAGGTCAATTCAAGCTGCGGTATCTTAAGATTGCTACACATGTACGATACTCAGCATCTATGCAGTACAACAACAGCAGTCCTCATTTCTCATTGAATCTATTTTTTATATGGTGAAAAAGTATAAGCTCCTGCAAGACGAAGGCGGTCGGTTCGAGGTACGACGTGGCTGTAACGCGGCTGTGACTCGGCTGTGACGCAGCCATGTCGCAGCCGCGTTGCGCATTGAATCGACCGCCTTCGTCTTGCAGGAAATTGATTGTACAAAGTATAAAAGGACCTCATAATTTGAGGCCACGCAAGTACATAAAGAAGTGACTGTACAGGTACGCCGCAGGGTTACTTGCTGGAGTATTTGTACAGCTACTCTTCGTGTGATCAGGGTACGATACAAGTCGTGTTCTTTTGAAGACAGCGCCGAGATAGAGCCTCAACCTCCATTTTTTGCCTTATTCAGGTTTTTTATGGCGCTATTACCAGAACACGGAATTCAAAAGATGAATCTTCTAAACATCCTTTTTTAGAACCACTTTGTGGATGAGTGACCCAGGCACTAATTTTCATCGCAAGAAGCGCTGACAGGTCAAACAGCATGCTTTCAGTTGTGCTCGCCATTTGAAAACGTATCGAGGAGTAAGGAGATTTTTCGAGAGAATGACCTTAAAGGGTGAGCGGGGTTCTCGAGGCAGTGATAAGTGCTCTGAATTTCTTGCTTTAGAGGTGGTGTTTGGAGGAAGGTTTGATGCGATAGCTAGATCAAGGTCCTAGTACTCGATTATGATGAGCCGAGGATATCAAAACCTGCCCAGATGCTGCCTTTAACCTCCGCGATGTCGACCAGTCAGTGCCGTCGACGACACGGTAGCGGGAGCGACATGGTTTTGGTAATAGGCGCATTCAAGATGCTTGAGCAAGATATCGCTTTTGAAAGAATTTGCCACATACCTTATAGCAAGAGTTAGTGCTATTAAAGTAAGTCCATCCACTTCCACAATACCCATTTTGGATCTCGGTCCTCACTGAAAATCAAACTTGAAGATTGAATGAAAGGTCTACGTAGAAAATTTAGCATCAGTTCTGGCTTCGGGTGAAGAAACTAGTGTGCGTACAGCGAGGACAACTTCTAGAAAAACTCTAGTTGAAGTGCTGGCTGATTTACAGTCACGTTGTAAATAAAATTTCCAAATTTGCATTGCACTGCCGTAGTCCACCTAAAAAATAAATTTTAAAGCTGTAAACTTTTACGAAGTGATTTTCAAAGGCAGTGTCCGGGCGAAAACTCGATTTTTAGAAAATCTGCTTACCGGGGGTTATTTGCAACGCTGAATCCGAAAATCCACATTAGTAGGCGCGAAAACGACAAGAGCATGCGTTTTCCAAAGCCTTACAACTCGTTGTCCCCGCGCCAAGGCAGGGACGCAGGGTCGCTGCGGGACCCTACAATTTTAACTGTTGCGGCATGCGTACTCTGCCGCCGAGCAGGAACTCGAACAGGTCGGAGGACCCCGCCCCGAGGCGTAAGTTCCCCCACTTTCCGAACCTTTTTCTTGCTTTAGGTCGAACATTACAACCTCGCACTTGTGAGATGCTGTGTCTGAGGGGAGCCACTTTCGCATGGCATCGAAATCCCAAAAACCCTATTTTGTCCGAACACTGCCTTCATGGACATTTGAAGTGTTCTGATGATAGCGATAGTTAACTTTTGTGTTTTGCTTGAGTTCATCGCAGATCAAACGGGCCAGCATTATGCAAAAAAAATCGCAATTTGGGGTTTAGCCTCTGCATGAAAGAGTATCTCGGATGACAATTACGAGCTTTCATGATGACAAGCTGCAGCCAAGCCGCCACTAGCAAGAAGCATGTTGTTCAACGTGACCATTTTCACATCGTGATGCATGGTTATCAATAGTTCCGCCCCTTCGAGACCGTTTCGATCCACCATAAAGGCAGCGTCCGGGCAGAGATGAACTTGTAGAATGCAATGTTTCCGTCCGGATGAGTTCTTGCCAAAGTGGCACTGCACCAATTTGCTTTTAAAGCGAGAAAATTGCTTCAAAAGTGGCGATTGAAACGCCCCAACGAATGCCCGTCCCTTGAATCTACGTCCAGATTACGAATGTCGCGCACAGCCAAGACGTAGGGTCCCAATGCGACTCTGCGTCTCAAAGGCAGTGTCCGAGCAGAAGGTCGATTTTGAGATTTTCTGCTTAACTGGGCCTGTTTGCTATAATAAACCTGAAAATTCACAATGGAGAGCGTGAAAAACGGCGAGAAGCGTCTGAAACGCTGGAGGGAAATCAGCAGGCGGGTTGGTCTTCCCCACTGTGAATTCATGCTCCCGGCTTCTAAATTCTTCTCGTTTCCGATTTCAAGTCACGCCTTTGCACTGGGCCAGTGGCGATGTCAGGAAGCCTAGCGAAATTGAGAAGATCGTTCCAGAAACTAGGAATATGCACAGTGGGAAAGACCCCGACCACTTGCGTTTATCCCCTGCATCAAAGAGAACCGACTTTTTGCCCGGACACTACTCTTAAGGGTGGCTCCATACCGCGCCGGCAGCCGCCAGCGCCCGAGCCGCCCTTGGCCGCTTTTGTTATCATAGGAGCGCAAAATCATCAATTTTTCACTACGCTGCTGCATCCGCCTACGCTTTTCACTTTCCACGCCTTCTCCTTCCTATTGTCGCGAACATGCAGTTTGATCTCTTATGTCATACTTGTGTTCATTGTTGTTATTACTTTGTTGCATATCATCCCATCCGTGCCTCATTCCACTTTTGCAACGTCTAATAATTGCCAGTACTTTCCCAAATGAACGTTGCGTCCCTGACCAGCATGCTCATTCATCTCCTTTTCCTGTACAAACTCCCAACATTCCAGCTTGAAGTAAGCCAGTAAAGTCGATAAAAGCAATCGAAGACTGAAGTTCTGACGAGAAATATTTGCTCGTAATTAGCAAGTTCACTTACCATCTGTACACCAGCATCTCCACAACTCAATTTGTTTGAAAAGCATTTACGACACTTTGCCGCCCGCAGTGTACAGGATGTCGCCCGAGAATGCACGCCCCACGGTATGGGACCTTGGCAGCCATCTCGCACAATCCATGCGCCAAGTTAGCTAGCGTGTGTCTGGGTTTTTGCTCATGCCTTGACACGATCAAAAGCAGCGTACAGGCAGATTTGGACTTACGATCCCTTCTTGAAAGTAACTTTGAGCCCAATAAGACATGGGTAGCGCAAATGATTCTTTCACGGCTGAGATATTCGCCTCCAAACTGGACCCCAAGGATTGTATTAACGAACGAGTTGCATCATGCTTGCATGCTTCCTCCGAGGACCCACGCAAAAGTGATTGGTCTTCATATAGAACTATGCGAGCATGAGGCAAGTCGTCCGTTAATGCGATACTGGGGTTTGGTTGGAGGTGAAGATCTCACAAGGAGAGGATACTTAGTCGAAAGCACCAATCCAGATGAGACATTTATCATCTTAGAGCGCTTGAAACGCTGATTCCAAATCTGCAGTTTCTAGCTGCGGAGCGGTTTTGTAGAGGGAATTATGAGGGGTGTTTCATCTGGGATTGAGGCGCCCTTCACCAGGTCACCCCTACCTATGAACACTAGAGAGGAGTACCAACTGGTGGCAACTGACCTAGTGGTAAGTGACGTGCTTGATAAAGAGAGTGTCAAGGATTTAATTCCCATCGCATGCCAAATTGAACTTCTAAATGGCTTTAGAGCCCTAAAGCACAAAACTTCTGATTGATACTAATCGAAGTTAGAAGTGTTAAGAAAACCAAAGTAATATGAGTATTATAATCTTTACTGTAATCTTCATTCAAGTTACACCATTAGGTCAGTTGCCATCAGCTGATACTCCTCTACAGTGCTTACAGATAAGGGGAGACCGCTGGAGGGCGCCTAAACCCCAGAGGGGAACACCCTTCATAACTCCTTCTACAAAACCGCTCCGCAGCTAGAAACTGCAGATTTGGAATCAGCGTTTCAAGCGCTTTAAGATGATGTATGTCTCATCTGGATTGGTGCTTTCGATTAAGTATCCTCTCCTTGTCAGTAGCGATACAGTAGTACGTCATTTAAGCTGAAGCTTGGGCGGTCTTAGAAGGTCCCAAAATCACTTTCCATGCGAGATCCCCATATGTTCAGATTTACCTGGACGCTGCCTTTGATGCACGCTGTAATGTCTGGGCAAAGCTGAGAATGTTTAGTGTCATGTAAAGTAAAGAAGCGAAATTACAGCTTTTGATGTTGCGTGAGTGCATCATTTTACCAAACTACTTTTACAATCCAAACTCCTATTTGATCGTTCGTATCGTAAAATAATCGCAAAATCACGAAGATTTTAAAGTTTTAGAAGTTTCAGAAGTTTATGAAGCTTTTCATCCTGTTCGACATTGGATAATCGGGACATGGACAACGTAATTCTTCCTGCCGTGAATTTCAACATATGTCATCAATTTGTGTTAAGTCATATATGTAACTAGCTGGCTTACCCGGCTCCGCCGTATGTTTCCAATAGAAAATTCCATTTCTTAACCGATCCGGACCAAACTTGGCACACATACCCTTCGGGCCCCGGCGGGTGTCACAGTCCACTTTTCGTTATCGATCAATGTCGATTTTATCGATTTTTTGCAAAATTTGAGCTACGGGGCTGGGAGTTGGCACAGGGGGGTAAGTGAGCATGGGGATTCCGAATACAATATTATGCTAATACAATATTAGCATAATATTGTATTCGGAATCCCCATGCTCACTTACCCCCCTGTGCCAAATCCCAGCCCCGTAGCTTAAACTTTGCAAAAGATCGATAAAATCGATATCGATCGATACGAAAAGTAGCCTATGACACCCGCCGGGGCCCGAAGTGTATGTGTGCCAAGTTTGGTCCCGATCGGTTCAGAAATGGAATTTTCTATTCGGAACATACGTACAGACAGACAGACATACATACAGCTTTATATATAAGATCTAGGCTACACCACCAATCATCAAAGATATCAAAACATGTTTGACATCGGATGCTGAAGACATAGAAATCAACGTAGAAGTGTTTTCACTTACCAATATGGTCAGATTATAGAGATACCCAGTTATTCGATTTATAACATTTTCAATGAAGCTGTAGGCTTGGATTTGCAAAGCGCAATAAACGAAAAAACTTTTTTCATTTTTTTCTTTTGCAGTCATTCTGCTGCGGGTGTGCACAAAAAGCAATTACTACAAACGCAGTATACCAGCTAACAGAGGATATATAGGGTGGGGCAAAAGTCTGGGAGCGTACTTTGCAGTGTTGTAATTCAAGAAACTACTGATGATTTTAACTCCAAATTTTTGCCACATATTGCTGCGATCATTCTCTACAAACTACACTTTGGTTGGCTAAAAATGCATGCCATATGTCTTCGTAGGAGTTGGATTTATTAAACAAGTGCTCTGCAAAGCGAGAAAATCAAAATTTTTGGTCTTTACAACTTATTTCGTAGCTGCAGATACAGCGGATTTTCTAGAGCACTTCGATGCATACAGTGTAGAGGAGACTTTGAGCTATCAATTTGTAGTCGTTGCGTTTGTCAGATACCATTCTTTCAAAAACGCAAAATAAAAATTTTTTGAACACCCCCCTGCGTGCCAATGTCCATTTTTCTTCAAAAACAGCAGGCACTGAATTTTAGGCTATATTCTTTCCACGAGTCTTCTATGCAAGCATTTACTCGAGTTTGATCAATCAAGCAATTTTAATACTTTTTAGATTACGATTCTTCGCTCCCGTTTGCGCAATCGCATCCAGATTTCCAGTATACGAGTACACTTGCCTTCAATTAAAATTCCAAAATTTTTTCCTAAACACTGCAAAAAAATTTCTTCGCAGTACGTCGTAGCCAAGAGCTTGCTCTATCACACCGCACATTTGTCTGGTGAAAGAAACAGTTATCGTAAAGGCGTGGGACGAATTTCACTACGATTGTCTGCGTGCCACGACAGGCGGACTCGCCAAGATTTTGAAGGGCTACTTTGAAGCCACAAGAGGCAATCTCAAAATTTGAGAGCAGCGCTGTATTTGTAAAGGTTGGTTTATGTGTGCACCAAATTTTTTGTTCCTAGGCACTTTCCTTCTAATTTTATCTGAAAAAGTACTAGGCTCTCAGAAACTTTTGCCCCATCCTGTACTTTAGTTGAAGCTAAGTTTGCGCAGTTTTAAGTATGCCGTACCTCCTTCGAGAAGAGTGAGATCTATTTCTAGAGGATATGCTTTGGACCAGTTCTATGTCGTATTGAAAATTATGGAAAGGGTGAGTAGCAAGCTTTTATTTTATTCAAGTATTTTGTACCTAAAAAACTCTAGAAGAGGAGGCCTCTCCACATGAATCTCAGATAAAAGTTCACATAGCTCCAAAACGAATTACCATCCGCTTAAGTCGCACCTGACCCAGTCACACTTCTATCAGGTTGGCCCGAAAGTCGTGTCGGTCTCTTTGATTGGTCATCAAAGCTCAAAGAACTCTGATCGATAAACGACGTGGGTACCTCGATTCAGATCTTCACAGTCGAGTAGATTTTCCGCTTAATATAGTGTGCTTGCACTGAAGGTGGAATGCGGTAAAATTTGCGCGTAAAGAATTAGCTACGCTTGTGACGCCGGCCATTTCCGCGCGCAAAATGTTGGCATTACTGGCGTGGCTACTTGTTCACACGCTAATTTTACCGCATTTCACCTTCAGTGCAAGCACACTATATTAAGCGGAAAATCCATTTGACTGTATGCTCTTTCTGTTAGCTCCGTTTTCCTTGGTCTATGCAATCTTTGCGATGTTATGGCCATAGCTCTCTAAGCAGCTCAACAGTGCCCCAGATTTCCCTTGCATTCCAAAAAAGTTCGTCGTAATATTTGTTCATAGCTGTAATAGCTATTGATAGCGTAAAGCTTTGGCTGCATCAAACCTACTTTAGATCACATAGATCAGATTTTGAATTCTGTAGTAATTTTCGAGGTGGAAAAAACCTAGCTTTTTGAGCACCTTTAACGCATAGAAATACCGGAATCCAAAAAGGTGATTTTTTGAAGCAAAATAAGCTTGACTGTTTTGCAAGAATGGTGACTAATAACAACCAAGCTTCAGCTCGCAGAACTTTTGAGCTTTCCTATATTGCAGCTGAGTGTTTCATGGCTTTACTGAAAAACGATACCTCCAAGGAAATATTTTTTTAGAGCTCCTCATAACCGATCAGAAGAATCTAAAAGCACTGCCGCCTAATCCAGGATTTCCTCTATGCGATAGTTATCTACTTTTCTTCCAGAGTCCGAAATAATTTTTGAAAGTCAGCCAAACTTTGAGTGAATCAAAATGAAGGGTGAAGAAGTTTGGCAGTTATCTAATAGCTTCCAGGGGTATTAAGATTAGAAATTATAACCATCAAGAAGAAAAAGAATGTATTTAAAAACACTTTACACAAAAACGAAACAAAAAACATAAGTCCTTCATTGTACGTGATTTTATAGTCGTTTGAAGAAACCGACAAAACTTCCGGGACAAACCGAAATATGCCAGTACCTACCTCTACTCTGTTTTAACCAGCATGCTCACTTAGCCCTTGCGTGAACTACCAGTCCCGTAGCTCAAGGCAAAAAATCGATAGAAGTCGATAGGATCAATATCGATCTATAACGAAAAGAAGCCTGCAATACCCGCCCCGCTTCAGCCGTCTATTTTGATCAACAATGTCGGTAGGTGTCACTTATGGAACAGTCACTATACAAGCTTGATCACGGTTGCTGCGGATCTGATTTCAAAGGCAGCGGCACGGCAGAATGACAGTTCTGGGTTATTCATCGTTCTGGGTTCCCCTGGATGAGCTAAGTCCAAGACTGTGCTTTGCAGCTTCAAAAGATATCAAAAACCCGCTTTTCCAGACGTGAAAAGTGTTGTTTCAAACCGCATATCCCGCTCTCTATCCTGCGCGATTGGCTTGTGAATGGAGAAACAGTACCTACCGTATCCACAAGCCAACCGCGCTCGAGAGCAGGTATACGCCGTCCGCCCAAATAGCAATTTTCACTTCTGAAAAATAGGGTTATTTATTGATATCTTTCAAAGCTGCAAAGCACAGTCTTGGGCTTAGCTCATCCAGGGGAACCGAGAACAATGAATATCCCAAATGTGTCATTCTGCTGAGCCACTGCCTTTAAGTTTTACTACCGAGAAGGCGAGCGCTATCAACGTACCTAGTTTTGTCACTTCAGGTAAGGGCTGCGGATTTCTTCAATGCGGATCACTGATCCGAAACCCAGATTCGAGTATGTTAGGTGAATGTGGAAAGTAAAAGTTTTGCTTCTCCATGACATTGCAAAACCCCACTTAGCAACCGCCCCCGGCATAAGCTCCAAAGACTTGGTTGAACAACTCCTCTTCATCCGCTGTATTCGCCAGACATAGCACAACCGACTACCATTTCTCTCCACCAATTTCTCGATGAATTGAGAAAGAAAGACCTCAAAGGCATCTTCAGAATTTCTTCGGCCAGAAGACAACGAGCTTTCACAGCAGAAGCACCAGATACTTTCCTGCGTATTGACGATATAGTAGTAAAGCTAAAGCCCGTAGTAAAGCTAGATCAGTTGAGGTGAACTCAACTTATCCCATCAGTTCACCTTAGGTGAGGTGAACTGATCACCGTCCACGTTTCCATGCTATAAGATGGTCAAGTCAACTGATAGTTGACCATCTGTCCACCTGCCGCAGTCAACTCTTCCACATCAGTTCACGTTCAAGTCACCTCAACGTGAACGGATGTTAGAGTGATCCAAATAGTGTGTAGAAGAGGAGTCGCAGACAAGAGGTGACTGCATCTAACATAAGTTGCTCCTGAGTAACTTACGATACACACAGCTTTGCCAAAAAATGCAGAAAAAATCGGCGCGAAACTGCACAACCGCGCCCGAAAAGGAGAGAATCGATGAACAGCTGATTTTGGCGAGGAAAAGAAAAAACCTCTTTTTCTTTTTTGTAAATTTTACTGACTTCTTTCTTTGACAAACTGCTCAAGGCAAGAATTTGTAGATTTAATTCATTGGATTTATGTTGAGTTATTTCAATTTTCCATAAAATTTTCGTCAAAAAATGCGTTTTTGTGTCATCCATGTTTTTTCTAGGCGAAGTCCTTGATAGCGGTCATCATCGATTTTCCGATAGTGGTCGCTATCAAAGACGCCCTGCAATACAGCAAAAACGTGGTGCTAGCCGGTGTCGAACCATGGCCGCGCGCGTTCAATTTCAGTCCCTTACCTGCTCGACCAATCCAGCTCGAGTGGTTCCCTTTTCAAGAACGCACTTGATTGTGGTGCCTCGGAAGCGATCCGCATCCAGATTAATGGCTCGCCGGATGCTAGACTGAGGCGTGATGAGATCAACGCCGGTCCGCGTCGAGAAAGATGCCCTGGTGGGGAGTTTACTACGGGCCATTGCTGACAGTAATGTCTCATACGTAAAGATGTTTGAAAAGTTTCGACCCAGTGCATAAGACACGTGACAACCTAATGGAAAGAGAAGTACATTATAGGCAGTGTTCGGACAAAAAGTCGATTTTGAGATTTTGTGCTTACCCGGCCATATTTGCTATGCTAAATCCGAACACCCATACTGGAAAGCGCGAAAGCGACGAAAAAGAGCTCTAACGCAGGAGAGAAACCATCAGGTGGGCGGGTTCAATATTCTGGACTTCGCTGGGCTAATGTCTACACTTCGCACCGACAACCAGCTGCCGGACCTTGCGCATAGTCGCCAAGCGCTTTATGATTGGTTAAATAAGCGTAATGATCAATTAAAAAGCAGCTGGGCAGCTAAGAAGTTAAGTCTAATGCCTGCCTAAATCTAGCTCTAACACCAGCTCATTCGGACTTGCTGATTCTACATACTAGTATCCTAAAATCTTACAGGTAAGTCCGCTTTTTTACAAGAAAAATCGAGAAAATGCAGCCTCGCACCGCCAAAATATCTTAAAGATAAGTCCTCCCAGATAAGTCTGCCTATAGATAAGTCCGGACTTATCTGACAGTCTCTGGACTTATCTGATATTTCAGGGTAGTTCTACGGAAAGAAAACGGTCTTGTCTGGAGGGCCTTATCTCAGCCAAAAAAGCGGACTTATCTGAAGGCGGGCTTATTTGTAGGCGGACTGGTGGGAACTTATCTGCGAGATTTTAGGGTAATTTGCACTTTACAATGTTTTCTTGTATAAATGAAAGTTACGTCAAACCCACAACAGCTGTTCGAGATCTCAAAAGCTTACACACATCCACCAAATTACTGGAAAGCTGAATAAAGTCAGAACTAAAGCTATAGATCCCTTTAGAATCCCTAGAATGCTCAGCTATCATGACTCCAGGTTTATCGGGTTTTTCTGACCCGCACAATAATGAAAAACAATTGATGCTTGTTCGAAACTTAAATCGACCTTGGAGCCAGCACTTCAGTAGGGTACCTAATAGCAAAGTAGGCAGACAAAAGAGTGATAATAATTATCTGTTCACATTCTCAGAATCTTTGAAGGAAAACACCTTCTTCAGCTACGTTTCCGAAACAAAGTGAACAAGTATCTGCGGCGATTCTAGATTTCTACTTTTATTTACTCACCTTCTGGTCGCAGGCGATTACGAGCGTATAAGCTATAATGACCTCCTGATCGTAAACCATAACGACCACCTGATCCTGATCTATAAAGACGTCCTGACATGAAATCGTCCAAGATTTTTGCGATGGCGTCGTGCAAGCCATCTGAGTCAGTACTGCGCAAGACTTCAAGGATAGCATCGTACAAAGCACTTGCGTCAGTAACATGCAAGTGATGTTCGCGACACGGTTGGTGCAATAAGCGCGATGGGTGCAGTTCGCTAGCATCGATTTGAATTTTTGTGATGGTATCGTGTAAGTTTCTAGATGGGCGCAGTTCGCTAGCATCGATTTGAATTTTTGTGATGGTATCGTGTAAGTTTCTCGATGGGCGCAGTCCCTCAGCATCGACATGAGTGGTTCTTTTGATAGTCCTTGGGCGGAACCTACAAGATCAAATCATTTTCTTAGCGGATATTGTTTGAATTTAACACCAACTTGTGCGCTACTTTCTTGATATTATCATCGCGACGAGTAACACAAGGAGTTCGGATTCGACAGGGAAAAGCTTCTGCCAGGACTAGCGCTAAGAGGAGCAGAGACCTCATAGAGAACCGCCTGAATCAAATCTTTGGCATCTTGTCTTTCACGGAAAGGAATGTTAGATTTTGCAATTTTACATATGCAATTGGATAACCAGAGGTCTAGAATGGACTTTCTATTTGCCTGCTACTTTCAAAGCAAATTACTAGCGCTGATGTGAATAAACTCAAACTTTAGATGCTGTCTCACTACGTGACGGACTTATGATTTAGTCTTAGTTAATAGTTTCCCGTGAGCTTATCAAAACAGTATCCTAACCTTGAGCTGGAGAGAAGGTAAGTGAGTGCAGATTTAGTCCATAAATCTGGTAATGATGATCATTGCCAAACGTATTTGGATATAAATCGCTTCACTTGCAAATTAACACACTGACGAGACGTCATGCAATAATTGCCGTGAGGGACAATGTGACCCACACGGTGGGTCATGGCTTCAGTTTTGTAGAATGACTACTATTTAGATTCGTCTCAGAGGTTCTTATACGCCGTGACTCCAGATGTTATTTTCACATTTCTTGAGCTTCTTAGAGTTACTGTAGGTATAGTTGAATAGCGAACGGAGTGGCTTTAGCCAAAAACGAGTTATTCGTGGGTTCCATAAGGCGCACAACTCTTGCGAGTTGTCGCTAAAGTGTTATAGTCGACATCCTTAGAATAAATGACTATAATCCAGCATAAGTTGCAGCATAAATTGCGTGTGTTGCATGCGTTTTTGAGATATGGTTGTAATATGAACCTTCTCAATCAAATTTGAGTCGTCGAAGTTAGCAGATATTTCCAATTTTTCAGGGTGCAGATCAAGCATTGTCCCTCCAGTGAGCTTTTTATAGCTTTTACTTAAGTGAAAATTGGATTGCTGCCCTTTCTTTCATGAATGAAGACATTAAGGAGTTTTGTTGATGCTAGAGTATTGGACTACAGTTTTTGAATGTCGAACATTTACTAGGTTGTCCATGAGTTTTTTCATAATCGAACCTTCAAACTGATATTTCTCAGAACTAGGGCGCCTGCAAGAGTACAAAATTATGGCAGTATTTCTGAGCAGATAAGCTATATAATCACATACTTGCGAGGAACAAAGAACAGGCACAGGCAAAGTTTGAACATTCAGCACATTATTTTTTCTCCATTTCTAACCATCAGAAAAATACATCGGGGGTGTACATAAATATCTGATAGGGGCAGTATACGCGTGAGCGAGAGGGAAATCCGCAGATTTGTTTTGAACTGACATACGATTATTTTGGTTTCTTCGGGAAGCCGGAATTTTTATTATTTTGACTTAGGTTGGTGCGATATAATTGCGAAAAATGACGTTTTTGCATTTTTCTGCGTTTTTCACGAAAATCATAAGCTTTCATAAAAAAGCTCGATTAGCACAAATCGGGTAATTTTAGAAAGAGCAGCTCACAAAACCTATAAGAAACATTCTTCCAAAATTTTCTGCAGCGTATCAGATTTTTAACGATTTACTTTCGAAAATCGGGAGTTTGAGTGGTCCTCATTTTCGATTTTTATCTCTGAAGCCCCTTATCCTCAGAGAATCGCGAAGATGTTGGTAGAAAGTAGATGAACTTTTCTTTCTAATAATATTTTGGTGAGCAAGTATGTTTACATAGGGAGCAGTTGCGAGTTTTCCGAAATCAGTGTCGAAGAGTGCCCGATGCTCCTTTCATGCTTAACGGAACTAATATTACCGAATGCTTGAGCTACACCCATCTAAGTACGAAATTCAACATGAGGAACGACATAGCACCGGGACTGAGCAAGAGAAAACTAGCAGCTTGGGCACAGAAGACACTGAGGAGTAGTGAAGAAGACCAGGAAAACCTGGCTCCGCGCCCATCTCTTCCACTCGCGGTTCTTCTTGCTTTAACGTACGCTTCAGAAACCTGGACCATGAAGAAACAGGATGAACTGCAGTTGGCGTCATCGAACGTGCTGAGAGAGATATGTTAGGAGTGAACCGGTTAACACAAGTTAGAGAAGGAATACGGTGTTCTATCTTACGTCAACGACTAAAGATCAGAGAAGGAATACGGTGTTCTATCTTACGTCAACGACTAAAGATCAGGGACGCTGCCGCACATGCCAAGCAGAGCAAGTCAAGATGGGCCGTACATGAATGCGTTTCTACGACAACCGGTGGACGAGAGCTGTGACAGATTGGATGCCACTGGACGTTAAACGCGAACGAGGAAGACCGCTGACTAATGATCAGATATCTTCAGAAAACCTTTGATGAAGTCCTTCAGAGCAAGTAATACAAAAGGGCGAATTTGATTTATTTTGGCATTTTTCAGGGAAATCATAACTTTTCATAGAAACTCTCAATCGATGCACACTTTGCAATGTTAGGAAGAGCTGGTGAAAGAACCTACAATACCGACTGCTTCGATTTTTGTTGCAAGTTTCCGATTTTTTATGACCCTACACGAAAAATTGAAGTTTTGGCTAATTTTCTTCTACCGCTCCTATCTATGCAAGAGATGATCATTAGCAATCAGCTAAGATGTCATTATAAAGAGCATGACTAACTCTTTCATATTAGGGTGAACGGTAAAAAATGGGACACCTTGAGAATAATTGCAGATTTCTCAAGGAAGAAAAGTGACTGAACTTTCCAATTTTGATGGATATTAGAATAAATTATTCTCTTTCAGATAGCACCTATATAAGGTCATTTATATGATTGATAATTTTTATACTTGCTAAAATGCAAAGTTAGTTACTTCGAGAAATTATGAAGTTTGAGCAGTATCGGCGCAGTAAAATATGTGAGACCACCCAAAGTACCACTGCTGGAGTGGGTGGTGGGACAGTCACCAAACCCATGACGGCTTGGTGGCTTTAACTCCCAATGTCAGGAGATGTGCCCATTAACAGCTTCGAGAACAAAGATACGCGTTATTCAATTCTTTGCAGATAAACGCATGATTTCTAGGTATCATCTGATAGAGCTTTTTACGCTCTATCCATCCATATGCAGCTTACCTCAGATTTTATCTATCTTCGGAAAATATAGGGCAAAACATAATTTTCTGGTTTTTTGTTGCGCCAAAAATAGCTATATTTCAGGTTTGTTCGATTTTTCTTCTGAAATTGAAAAGAAATCTCACGCATTTAACATATCGTTCGAAAGAGCATGAAGAGCTCTTTCGAATGGTATGTCATTTGCTTTACGACTTTACGGTATAACAGCGCAAGATTGAAAATTGCTCAAAAAACCCTGTTCGAGTTCTTCACGGCGCCACGTGTAGGGTAGTGGAAGAGGAGCGTTAACGCGTTGTCAGAATAATAAGCGAAGGTCGCCCATGTAAGCAACGTTTAAGTTGCCGCTTACTTGCTGTTGCCCGAAACAAAAAAATTCCAAAATGTAATGAAAATCAAGCTGTCCCATTTTTTACCGTTCACCCTAATATAAAAATAAAAGCATTCATATCGGTTGGTAAAAATCAGAAGTTATGAATTTTTGAATATGGTGCGGAAGAACTTTCGGTACAACCTAATACATACATTCTTATGATATTACAGCATTTGTTCGGGAACAATTCAAGACGCATGAACGATCAACAGCCATGACATCAAATCTGACCTGGAAAGTCATCTAACTTAGGTCGGCCTTTTGAAAAACAACACCTGTATTTGGAATCACCTTGAATGCTAAAATCCGAATATCTTGTCGCTAGCTGCGAAATTATTTTGAACAACGTTATTGAGTTCTTCCTGTGCCAAAATGTGGATGCTAATCGACTTACAGAGATTACGGTATCAACATTCAGAGGTAATGCACATGCAAAGACTTGACTCGATGTTATTTCAGTATTTCAGTGCCTTTTCTAAGCAGATTTTAACTTATAAGCTAACTTCCCATGTCCAGTAGTACGCCAACGGCGCGTAGTAAAAAGGCGTCGTAATTTTTCTCAGAGTCAGCTGAAACAACAAATTTGGACTTAGCGTTCCAAGCTAAGTCCGATAGTATGTGCCGTTCGTCAAAAGGCCGACCTAAGTTAGATGCCTTCCCTTGTGAGATCGAAACACACACAACTGTAATCAACAAATAAAATACGCCAGCTGTATAGATCGCAAACAGCAAAATCTGCTTTTATATAAACACCACCATATAAGAAATAACGATACATAAATTAGCTGTAATTTCTTTTAAAATGGTTTTCTCAGCTTTTAAAAATTCCAACGATCGTTATCGCGATTTGAGGAGACGTGATGGGCAATAATTTATGTTTTTGCGACGTCTACCGTCTTTTCTCACACGATAAGCTGGGGCGAAGATTGCAACTATGGCTACATTGTTGCGCCAATGAGCAGTATTCAATCGCTGATGGTGAATGCTTACATTCCACTTTTGAATTCTGGTGTAGATAATCAACGAGTGACAAACATTTTGCAGTAATTTAAACCATGAAGAAATGTGCTTGTAACAAGGGAAAAATTCTGATTGTGAGGTCAGTACTTAGTCCGCGAATTTTTCACAAATTAAGTTCCTTGAAAGGCAATGTCCACCCAATCGTGGCACATTGGACTTTCATGTGGTAACCGAATGGGGCCTCATAAGGCACTGTTCATGTGGCAATGCAGTTGATTCATTTACAGCCGAGCACTTCAGTTCCAAGTCATTCCGTATCGTGAAGCGGACGACGCAGGCTATTGCGACCCTACTTAGATAATAGCCGGGGGCAGACGGCCATGCGATTTTTGGGCAAGCCGGCACCGGAAAGACAGTTCGCTGATTTCTTGTGGTCCGGTTGCAGAAATTTGGAAGAATTTTGGCAAAATTTTAATGAATGCTCGGAGAACTATCGCGATCTTTCCATGGATAAGTGCGGCCCAGAGGCCGCATTCACGCGCACTTTTCGCATATGCAAAGTTATTGTGGGCCGCACGATCCTTTGTGAAGGATCACACAGCCCGTGGGTACTTTCCGCTGAAAGAAAGTACTTCAAATTTGGGTAATTAAACCATCGATGACACATCTGCCTCATAGAGTCTCACCTTTGCTCGGCGTACGTCGAAAGTGCGTAAAATGTCTTTTGTCGACCTTTAGGTACCACTAGATGGCAAATCCGGCTCCGCCCGGGACCAAACTTTGCACACATATACTTCGGGGCAGGGAGCGTGTCATAGGCTACTTTTCGTTATCGATCGATGTCGATTTTACCGATTTTTTGCAAAATTTGAGCTAGGGGGCTAGAATTTTGCACAGGGGGGTAATCGAGCATACTGATCACTCCCGTGGGGGTGATCAGCATGCTCGATTACCCCCCTGTGCAAAATTCTAGCACCCTAGCTCAAATTTTGCAAAAAATCGGTAAAATCGACATCGATCGATAACGAAAAGTAGCCTATGACACGCTCCCTGCCCCGAAGTATATGTGTGCCAAGTTTGGTCCGAATCGGTTCAGAAATAAAAATTTCTATTCCGCACATACGTACAGACAGACAGACATACAGACATACAGACATTCAGCTTTATATATAAGATTCTGTAAAGCGAGATTCAACTTGGATTTACAGCACGAAGCAAATCACCGATCGCTCTTCATTATAAAATTGCGGTAGGAACTTTGACAAAGATTTTAGGCCGTTGGAGGCCATATTCTGCCTTGGAACAAATTATTAACGTTCAAACAGGTGCACATTTCTCTTTAGATTTTATTAAGCTTGACTAAGGTGGCAAAGAATTGAATTAAATGCTTGCGCGTTTCGGCGAAGTATCGCCTTCTTCAGAGCGCTGAAGCCCACGACGCTGTTGGTTTACGAGCCTCAAAAGCAGGGTCAAGCGTGTTGATGCGATCCGGGACCTTCATTTACGACCCCCCCCCCCCTTGGAGGTAGCCATCCGTACGACCCCCCCCCCCCTTCCCCTCTTCCCCCACCCTCCCCCTCCCCACCCTCACGCATTTATCCCCCTTACCTCTCCTGCCCACATTCCTCGCGGTGACCTGCATAAACGAATGTCAGTCTCAAAAAAAAAAACACCTGCGTGAGAACTTCAGTGAGGTGAGCAGAATTTCTAGGCCATTGGGTGCGTCCATCATCTGTAGCACACATACACATTTTTAATAATGTTTGAGATTCTGCAAGTTTTTTTTTGAATTTTCAGGCATACTTCAGGCCAGCAAATTCGATTCCCGTAGGCGACACAAATTTTTGCACGGAGAAAAAATGACATTCTTGAACCACAAAAGATTCGACTAAGAGGCTTACTTCCTACCTCTTCCACAGTTTTTCCCGCGAAAAAAACCGCTTCAGCGCCGTCCAGAACGACGTCAAAAACGTGCATGAGCACGGTAGTTTGAAAATTCGTAACTAAGGCCAGGATAAGACTGAGAGGCTGCAAAGCATAGGTTCTGTAGTATGGTGCCCAGACTATCCAGAGAAAAAGTTTCACCCCTTGAGGAGCATTAAGCTCGAAAAAATTTAGATGCGACTCTCGCAAATTTAGATGCGATCCTAAAAAGCAAAAACCGGGATTTTTTAGCTTAAAATTTTGTAACTTACCAGAGAAGTTATAAAACAGCCTGCAATTTTTATGAGGGAAAGTAGGGGGATGGCCTCATATTACAGCAGAATTGCAGCCAACAAGCTTCAATAGCTCCGAAGAAATTTAGATGCGACCCAGATACGACCCCCCTTTCCTGACTTTTTGCAACCATACATAAAATCATAAGAAAAATCACAGTTGACAAAACAACACGAAATTATGCATTGATATAGCGGAGCATCTCAAAAGTGCAGATAAATCATGTGAGCCCGTGAAAAACATTACAAAAAGATTTAGAATTTTATGATGGTCACAGCTGGTAAAGACATTCGCTTTTGTCGAGTGTGTGAGACTTCAGGAAGGCTTCAGAAGCGAGATTTCTAGGGCAATCGCTACATTTAGCATATTTATTAAATAATACATCCTTCAAAAGTGTTTTGAGCTCTTGTTAATGTTTTTTTTTGAGAATTTCTACAGATTTTTTATCTTTTTTATTCAGATTTCCACTTTTTTACAGATTTATTGTAAAGAACATAACTAATTATCTGCTTTTTGATTCCCTTTTAAGCCTAGGGTATTTTAGCCTAACTGCCTTCTCTTACGACCCCCCCCCCCACCTTAGGTACCCTCCTTACGACCCCCCGTTGCGACAGTCGCATCACAAGCTTGACCCTGCTCAAAAGTCTCGAGAGCTCTCAGAGTCCTCGTTTCATCTTTCGGTAGTGTAAACTGAGTGTATTTTAGGAAGATTTCCCTTCAAAGGTTTATTTTAAGTACTTAGCGTATCTATCCGATTGAGTTTGTTTTCTATGGATGCTTTTAGTTCCATTTTAGTGCGACATTGAAGCTTGCTTGTACAATTAAGCTTACACTTTTCAGAGTTTTTTTATGATTACAGAAGGAAAACGTTTCGTAAGTTATCTCTTTCTTACTTCTATGGTTTTCACTAATTACTGGTAGTATCATACTAGTATTCATGACTGACTAGAAACTAGTCTTGGTGGAAGTTGTGGAAGCGTTCTTCTCTGCTTAGGCTTTTTTGAACTGAGATTAAAGGCAGCGTCCAGGCAGATCTGTACCTATGGGGCTTTTACGTGGAAAGTAGTTTTGGGGCCCTAACTGAGGCACTGCCCAAGCGGCAGCTCAGGTAGTGCTGTAATGGCTGAGATATTCCCCTCGAAACTGGACCCCGCGACCGTGTTTCGCATGAATTCATGGCGCAAAGCGTGGATCCTGGCGCGAAACTGCCATGAATCCATGCGAATACGTTCGCGGGGGCCAGTTTCGAGGGGAATATCTCAGCGGTTAGAGCACTACCTGAGCTGCCGCTTGGGCAGTGCCTTAGTTAGGGTCCCAAAAGTACCTTCCACGTAAAAGCCCCATAGGTCCAGATCTGCCTGGACGCTGCCTTTAAAGGACTCCACTTTTTTTCGCTCCCGTCTTTAAGCAAAAAGCTTTTTTGTTCATAAGTGGGATGAGAAGCGTTAAAAGAGCGCGCGTTGCGTATGCGCCGCGAAAGGTACCTACGGGAAGCTGGTCGGGGTCCACGCTATCAGTTAGTCGTGCAATATTTAGAAATATGGCTACCATAATTTCACGAACATAGGACGAGCCTTCATTCGATTTTTGAGTGAGCCGCTTAGCCGTCTCGCTCTAGTTCGAAAAACGAGACTCACGCCGCATGATAAACTCAGACAATATGCAGCACTGTTTTTTGTTTTTTCAAAGTTTTCTGGCCGCGAAGTCCTTCTGTTTGTCTGTGCTGTTCGATTTTAGAAAAAAAACCCCGCGTCCTATACTCGTGAAAAATAGGGTAATATTTTCCTCACGAGATAAGAGACCATGCTGAAGAAATAAGATCACTTGTATGAAGAAGCGTAGATCCTTTTGCATCTCTTTGCACACATGTTATAGCCAATAGTCATATCTGTTCTGTTCTCTTCTGGGTCCGAAAGAATACTAAGTAAAGCAGAAAAAAGGACATGCAAGTTACTTACTTCGATACTTACATGGCACGGCTTCACGTGACGTACGAGCTCCAGTACAAAACTTTCCATCGAT